GAGTTTAAAATGTATGATTGAATATGTAAGGTAGTGCAATATAATTGACTTATAAGGAAAGATATTATATCATGAATCCAGGACACATCACGTCAAGCGCATACAGAAACTATGGACGCATAACGAAAAATAAAGATTACAACGAGAGGATTTGTACTTATACAGGAGGAAAGCTTAGTTGGAATAATGCCATGATTCTGAAAATCGAACTTGAAAGGGAGAGTCATTCCATTGTTATCACGCAATTGGCCCTAGGATAAGGAGTATTATGGACAATGAACAGACGCACTATCAAGATTGTAGAACTAATCGTCACACACATGCATTAAATTATATTCTCGGGTATTTGATCATAACATACCATTTTACTCCCGAATTTTGATCGTAAAACAAAAACAACTTAATCCTAAATTAAATTGAGAATAAATCTAAATTTTAACCAAAGGATCGAGAATCAAATTATTAGATAGATTTAAGCTTAATTAACTTGTATTAATATTAAATCCAAATTCAAGCTAAGTTAATTATAATTAAAAGAAAAAACAAATCTAAATCAAGTTGGTAATTAAAAAACTAAAATATGGGCCTCCTCTCCAAGCCCAAAGTTTCACCTACGGGGGTGCAGGCTGAAAGTGAAGGGTTTAAGAAAATCAAACCAAATGGGCCTAGAACCATAAGGCCCACCCGGGTTACACCAAGGGGAATGAAAGAAAGCTCAAGAACTAAGTCCTCACTTGCTTCTCCCTCGTCTGAAATCCCTTCTTTCGTCAATTTCCCTCTCCCTCTCAAATTCTCGTCTACGTTCGATCCCAGAGTCTTTCTCCATTGTGAAAACTTATCGAAGCTTCGCGTCTCACTCACTTCTTCTCATCGTTCGCATAGCCACCATCCCTTTCACATGCCTCCGATTGTCCCTCTCTCGCGCTCTCGTCCACTGCTCCCTCTGCACCAAGAAAACCTCATCGGAGCAATGACCAGCTCCGTCATGCCAAATCCTAACGCCAGCGATGGCTGAGAATAATCTCTTCCTTCGTCTGTACTTCGATTCGACACCAATTCATAAAGGGCTTGGTACAACTTCGACTACGCGAATTCATTACAAAGACAAGGAAATTATTGTGCTGGAGAAACAAATTATGTTAAGGTATGAATCGTACCTGAATCGCTCACTACGTGTATGCTTTGTGTACTCCCTTGTTGTGGTTGCTGTTTTTTGGTGTGAATTTCTTTATCAGACATGAATGTGCTTCTTACTGATATGTCCTTGCCTCACTAGTGCAACATTCTTGTTCTCGATCTTTCTCTTCACCTGTTATGGGAACATATGTACTGCCTGTTATTTTGTGAATTTGGCATAAGGGTCGTGTTCTGCTTTCTTCCCCCTTCTCCCTTTGATGGCTACTGTGATACCCTATTTTGTTTTTTGTTCTTTCCCTGTTTACTGCTATGTGCCCTCCTCTTCTCTCTTTGTATCAATTCCCCCTTTTATACACTCTTAATCTTGACAGAAAAAATTAATTTTGGAAAGAATTTGAATTTGCCTGGGACATGTACCAAACCTATCTTAAAATCCTGATAAATGCCTTTCCATCTCCGTCTCGATATGCTTGTGACTTGTTTCCTTCTTTGTGGATTTTGGTTTGAATATTCCATATTATCTTTAGACTTGTCTAGGAAATAAACAAAGTCATGGAGCTTATTGTTTTCATGTTTTGGAAAGGTTTGATAGTGGGAATTTAATTTTGATAATTATGATAACTCTCCCGATTCCTTGTTCTTTCACTGCAGGTTTTTTTTGTCAGGAAACTCTTCTCATTGAAGTTTTTCCAAAGAAAGCATAGAATCACAGCAAGTGGAATAACTACTGATATATATTTTTAATTACCAACTTGATGAAAAGGGGGGAAGCCAACTAAATTTTGATGGATTGTTTTCCATATATACCAAACAGAAGGTCCCTCCATGGTAATAAACATTGCGATGACAAGCTGACCTTCCGTATCATGGATTTCATTTGTAAATTACCATTTGAGTTTTGAATCATAGCAATAATGTTGAGACCCTCTTTTTTTTTGTGTACCTTGCATTTTTGGGAATTTAACTTTCTTGCCACTTTTCAAAGCTTTAAACTTTTGGATCCAAGTTGTAATGTATATTATGGATTTGGCTTCTGAATACTCTTGAGTTTGTATTATTGTTAGCTTCTTCTTTTTTATTCTTCCATTCCTTGGATAAAATACCTTGGACAAGAAAAAAAATGACCTTGAAAATTGAATATGAAGGGTGACATTGACTTGAATTTTGAACTTAATTGGCAAACTTGAATCTTCTATTTTGGAAATTTCTTGTAAAGAAACACGAGTCTTAAAACTGGTTTGTACATATTGAATCTTAATATCGCTTGAATTCTTGTACTTTATCCAAAACTCTTTAATGTTGCCACTTGAATTCAATCAATTTGAATCTTCTTGAGTTTCGTTTTGAGAATTTCCGCTTCAGAATATGTTATTTACTAACAAACAAATGTCAATTCTTTTTCAAAAGAAAATAATGATCCAACTTCACGAGTTGCATTAAGCTTGACTTTTGTTACTCGTACGATTGAATATGAACTTGATATTGGAATCATGTCCTCAGAAATAATGGGTACCATTTACGACTCACTTTAAAACCCTAATTGAACTTCATATACGATGGATCTTGAGGGATGTATCCCAGTAAACTTAGAACCATTTTGGATCAGAATTAGCTGATCATGTCTTGAAGTATTTGGCTGAGGAAATGAGCATTATCTCCACTTTAGCTAAGGCACCTGCACAAATTGGTTAGTGATAAAGCACACGCACAAGCGTCGATGATGTTATGCATAAAGAGGTGGGAATCTTAGGGTTTAAATTAGGGCGTGACAGATTCATTGGGTGACTCTAGGGTATTGGGGACAAAATTGTCCGTTCTGGTGAAGTTATCGATGCCACAGTTGTGGATGGTATTACCGTAGTACTAGCAGTCGAAGGAACGGGTTCAGTCGTAGTTACAAAAATTGTGCCCGTTCTAGCATTATTGGAAGGTTGTTCGCCATTATTATTCCTGAGAATTGTCATTCTTCTGACGTATCCCCTCGCAGGTATCGTAACTTATCTCTTTGTCATTTTATCCCTCCTTAATCTCATGCATACTCGCACTCATAGAATGAGAAGTTAATGAAGTAAAAACTACAATTTTATCACAAATGCAAAATAAAAACACACACAAAAAGGGTCTCGCCAGGTGTGACAATTTGTTTACTATGAAATTCGGTAAACAAATACAAGTTTTTATTAATACTTAAAGGATCAAACTCAAAAATCTTCAAAAACATATTTGTGTGCGTTTATGACTTCGAAAACCATTTTGGTGTCGAAATCGAAATGTAGTTCTTGAAAATGTTTGTTGTGACTTCTAAATGACACTTGAAATAAAGAAAGGCTTTAATGGTGAAAAGGTTAAAAATCAAAATGCAAATAAAGTAAAGGCTTGAAATCAAAATGCAAGTAAGATAAAATGACAGGAATTGTAAAGGCAACCGAAAGGTAATTTAATGCATAAAAAGTACTTTAATATAAAAATGCTTGAAGTGTATAAATGGTGGAACGCATACATACATCTTTCCTCACTCGTTTCTCAACACTTAGATAGTTTGAGTTTGCAGAAATGTGTGTACAATTGCGGACCCCTTACATTATGGACATGAGTCCTCTTATATACTACTCTAAAATAACTGGCTAAGAACGATCGATTAACTCTATTGTGACACGTCTCAAATCCATGCAGTGGTTCCTTCTGACGAGCTCCCACATGCTTTTGAATAACCGTTTGTGTTAAACCGGTTTCCGCTCTTTAGCGCCATTCAAATATCTTAACTACTTTTAATGATCACCAGGAGTTGACTAACCACGTCGAGGTCTTTGAAATCAACCATACTACGACATCACACTCTATAGTACTTTCCACATGTAATGTCCATGTCGACATTATTTCCATTGTAGTGATGAATTCCAACCTTATCCAACATAGCATAACACTCAATTTCACTAAGTCCCCAAACTTCTCACAATGTCCTTCGACTCTACCATTTTCGACCGGTATCACTTTGTGTGATCTCCAACCTTTAGTCAACCTAATTTTCATGTGACTCCATTCTATCTTAACTCTCCACATGTCATATTTATTGTTACTCTCATTAATGCTTACCATTTATAGTTAAATAAAAAAAATCTAAGGTAACACTCACATCCTCTAATATGTCATAGTTTCGTTTTTTGGATTTTTGTTGACACAAAAATTAACATATATTTTGTATTTTTAGTCTTAAAATATGGAGTGTCTGTGGGCCCACCCCACCCCTCCTTTATTTTTCAATTAAGAACGGAACAAAATTTTAAAATTACAACCTTAAATTTTTTTTTTTTCTTCAAATTTTTGAATGACATACCTAATCGGGACCAAATGAGACATTTAATTTACCGTTTTAAGCTTTTCTAGATTATAAGTCTATCTAAACTTATTCTCATATTCAAGTATTACTTGTTGTAAAAAAAAACGTTAAACAAAAAGAAGAAAAAAAACAATCTTGATATTAAAATTTTATGTTAAATTCAATCTCTTTTGAATTTTATGTGTAGTTTTAAAATATGTGAAAATTATAAAGATAAAAATTGAGGGAATAGCGCAGCTATTAAAAAAATATAGAATACACCGATGAGTAAATGAGAGCAAGGTGGCTACATAGCCCAACGACTTCACTTTCTTTATTCCACCGACCTAGCTTCGTGTCAAGAGCCCTTTAACTCTGCATTCTCTCAACTTTATTGGCTTAATAAATTGTTGTGACAATAACTTTGAAGTTCGTGTAATTATATTACAAGTTTCAATTAAATTATTAATATTAGTATTCTATATATGGTGATTATCTATGTAGTTAGAAAGAACAAAATTCACAACAAGCCACATAATCAGGTGCTATGGAAGACGCTGTAACTGAAGTTCCTTCACTGAATCACAACTCAGAAGATGATGGATCCAAAAGAAAAGATCTTGAAGAAAAGGAAAATGACAAAGACACTAATCTTGTTGGTGGTGGTGGTGGTGGAGGAGGTGTTATTAACAACTTTATCTCTACTCTTATGACACCTTTGAGTCCAAGAATTGAGAAATTTACTACTCCTCAAGATGGAGGTGGAAATGGGGTGTTTGAGAAAGAGGTTGATAACAATGGTGGTGGTGGAAGAAAAGGGGTTATCAACAACCTTGTTTCTAATCTCTTTCATAGAAGTGAAGAAAAAGAACAAGGTGTGGTGGAAAAGGAAGATGAAGAAATCAAAGCTGATGAGAAGATTAAAAGATTGAAGACAGAGAATGAAGCTAATGGTGGCGGTGGAGGTGGCGGTGGAGGTGGAGGTTTTATTCATGACATTGTTTCTCATTTGCCTACTTCAATCCCAGGTAAAAACTACAAAATGGTAAAACTATAAGGGTCGTTTTGCAAAATCTTATACTAGTATTTATTAAACCGACCCATCTAAGTAAACATATATTTAATATTTTTTCACTATGTTTGGAACAGATGATGCGGCTCCTACAGCAGATGAGGCTGCTATTTTGATTAACTCTCTTGTTCGTGACTAAGCAGCGCCAATAAGGGTTCTTTAGTATTTTTTTCTTTCATTCAGTTCTTCATATTTGCAGTGATTTGTATAGTTTATTTTTTTGGGGAACTTTTGTATTATGCCTCAGTTTGGACTCTTCATTTATGTTTGTCATTTTTAAGGTTAGTAATCTTAGGTCTATAAATCAGTTATTGTCTTGAAGCTGGGCTGTTTTTTTTTTAAAGTAGTTTGGTGGTTGAATTTGTTGGGTATTAGAGTAGTAAGATCAAGATCACAAAATAAAAAATTAAGGAGGAGAAAAATTGACACCAAATATTTACCTGAAAAATTGTCAACTAATAAGAAAAAAATCACGGACATCGGTATAATAGATTTTTATTAAGGGAAAGAAATTACAACACTTCTCTCTCTATATATAAGGAGAGAATAAATTATACTTTTTCTTATAATAGGAGAACACTCACTAAAAGAACTTTATAGGAGAAAATACAATATATTATATTTCTCTATATTTTTCTTTTATGTTGCAATGTTTTATGTTATTGTTAGAAATGAGAAATGCACCTCTATTTATAGGTGCTCATCTTTACAAAACCATGAGAGTTATTACAAAACCATGTGTGTTTCTTTCTTGATTCACAAATTGTAACTTTATGGGAGAAAATAACTTTATAGGAGAAAATACAATATATTATATTTCTCTACATTTTTTTTCTTTTATGTTGCAATGTTTTATGTTGTTGTTAGAAATGAGAAATGCACCTCTATTTATTGGTGCTCATCTTTACAAAACCATGAGAGTTATTACAAAATCATGGGTGTTTCTTTCTTGGTTCACAAATTGTGACTTTATTCAACCACAATCTTTGACCATAATCTTTTACCATGACCACAATATTTGACTATGAGCATAATCTTTGACAATCTCCCACTTAAAATCACATTTGTGATCTTTCAAAATCTTCTCTACCTTATCAATTCCATGCTGATTACACCTCTAATAGGCCATAGGAAGACTTAATCAACTTCGTCGTTGCATCTGCTAGGTTATCTTTAGTGTGAATTTTCTGCATATTCACATTTCCTTCTTCTACTACCTCTCTGACAAAATGGTATTGAACTTCTATGTGTTTTGTCCTGGAATGTAAAGCTGGATTCCTTGCAATGTGCAAGACATTCTGACTGTCACAGTACACAATAATCTTTTGTTGCTTGTGTCTGAGTTCTTCCAATAACCGTTGAATCCAAATTGCTTTCTTACATGCTTGGGTAGTGGCCATGTATTTAGCTTATGTAAACAGTCTGCAATTTGGATAACCAGCTTACCGCTCCTCCTGCAAGTGTGAGCACATAGCCAGTAGTAGACTTTCTTTTATCAAGGCCGCCTGCAAAATCTGAATCAACATAGCATCTGTCCTTAAGCACTTAATTATCTTTCCAGTTTCAAGTTCCACTTGAGCTTTGAACTCCTTGAATACTAAATACACATCTGACTTCTTCTTGATTGGGTACACCCATAGTCTCCTGGAGTAATCATCAATGAATGGTACAAAACATTTTGCTCCACCAATGGACATTTACGGTGACTCCCACACATCAGAATGGATCAAGTCTAGTATGTGTTTTCTTCTAGCAGTTGACTTAGAAAACTTTAGTTTATGTTGCTTGCTTATCACACAATGCTCGCAGAAAGGTAAATTTACTGACTTAAGCCCGAGTATGAGATTACGTTCTGCAAGAACATTCAAGCCTCGTTCTGACATATGGCCTAGTATGCGATGCCATATCATCGTTGTTTCTTTCGGCTTCCAGTTACTACTAATGCATCTGCTCCTTTCATCGTATCTCCCAAAAGCATGTATAGATTTGCAGCGACCTTCTCTGCTTTTATCACTACTAGCGAACCTTTCACCACGTTCAAGATCCCACCTTGAACATGGGTCTTGCATCTAAGGTCATCTAGTTGCCCAATAGACAACAAATTCTCTGTCAATCCTTTCTCATGTCGTACCACTTGAAGTGTGCGGATAGTACCATCATACATTTTCATCTTGACAGTACCAACTCCAGCAATTTCCAAAGCATGGTCATTCCCCATCAATACATGTCCTTCCGAGATTGGTTGTGTAGATGACTGCGTTACTGTGCACTTGGAAAGCTTGCCCCAATCTGAGTCTTGAAATATCTTCTGGATAAATCAATTCTTAGAAGGAGTTTCCCCTGAACCACAAATCTTAAAATGATTCTCAATAGGATCTGGAAGGAACTTACCCCTGATTGGATCACCGACCAAGTTTCTCAACTGTTTGAAAATTCCTTGAGGAAAGTCAGTTTGCAAACAAAAGTGTTCATACAAACATGGTAATGCAAAGTTCATGCAACTTTTGAAATCAAAATCATTTTTGAAAGATGCAAAACATATGAGTCACATGTCAGAACACGGTGGTTCAAAACATGGAAAGTGGAAAGTAAAGCAAAAGTGGTAATGTCAAAACAAATGAGCTACAAAGATATTTTGGAGTCAGTTTGCGTAACCTTGTTGTAGTATGCTTTCAAAATAACCATGCTTTAGTTAAGTCTTTTGAGGGTTATAATGTGGCCTGGTTCACGGTTTATGAAACAAAGGATAAAGGCTCAAAGTTTATTTGTTCCCACCCAATATTCATGATGATCTTCAGTCCTATGTTCAGCTAACTCAGACTAATGCACTCAGGTTCCTATAGGTTAGGAATTGCACTGATAATAGTTATGATGATGGTTCAAAAGTCAAGGGACTCTTGAAAAAAGGCAGTCACTACTTCCCTATAACATTTGGTTATTTTTCATTGAGGACTTTCATGATAAGGTTTTAAATATTTCCTCTTTTTGGTTGTCCCTAATTTTTTCCTGAACTGTTTCTTTGGAAGATTACAGTCAGCGAGATGCCCTAGTTTTTCCTAAGTCCCCTTCATAGGTTTTGACTTAGCGAGCTTTTTATTTTCTTTTTTTTTTAGAAATAAAGAGACTGACTGCTTGGCTTAATGGTTATGGTGAACCATTATTGGCATTTGACTTGAAAAACATCTTCAACACTTGCTTGTTGTGTGCGAAGGAAACAATTATGGTTGCAACTTTTATATGAAAGGTGTCTCGTATGAATGCAAAACCGAGTTAACTGAGGACTACCCACCCCATGGTTAAGATTGTGGGTTTTTTTTGTAAAGAAAGAAACTCATACTTCTAGACTCGAAGGGGTTTGCAAGGGAACAACTTCCTTATTTTTCCAGTGTTTAGGGGATTGAAACAATGCCTTACATCGCCAACAAAGTTTGAATGAAAGCATATCGACAACAGTTTTGGGCATAACATTTTCATTATCCTCCATCAAATATTTGCATGTCAAAAGTTTGAAAAAAGGTGCATATTTTAAAAGATAAAGCATAAAAATGAAAATACTAGACAAAATGAACTGAATCAAAAGTTGCAATGCTCATTTCATTAATACAAAAGTACAAACATAATCCTCTAGGACTTTGTCTATAAAGACCTTGTGTATGCCCATTATGGTTATGATCCCTGGCAAATGTGATTTCAAATGGAAATGAAGCGAGGGCGTGCTCTTATGTTCATGATCAAGTAAGTTGAGACAAGAGCAGCTGCTCAAGCCATGAGTCTGTCTCTTTTCAAGGCATGGTCAATTGGTTTCTAGTTGGTTTTAGGCCATATGTCAAAATTGACCCCAAGGGCATATACAAAAAAAAAAGGGTTTCAAAGAAGCTCGAATCATAACCCATACGTGGTCAAAGTACAAATAATCCAAATCATGTTGGAAAGTTTTGGTAAGGCATAATTTGAGCGTGTTGCAAATAACAATCCTCAAGTTACCTTAAGATTATATGTAAGTGATTGAGTTGTGTTTTTAAGTCATAATGCAAGTTAATTCAAAATCATGATTAAGTGTTTCTACAAACTATGATTGGTTAAACTTTCAAGTCGTGTTATAAGATAGATTCTAAGCTTATGAGTTTTTTCTTCCATATGGTCCCCCGTTTCTAAGCCATAAGGCAAGTTTACTAAGATTATTTGGAGATTTTAAGCCCTAGAGAAATCGTTTTCACAATGGAGTCCCCTCAAATCACTCAAAATGAGAAGTATTCAGGTCAAGGAAGATGGCAAGTCAGTTTGAAAAACGAAAAAAAAACAAGATTTCTTTCAAAGTGACATCATGTGGGTTAAAAGAAACAAAGTAAATCTATTGAAATGCGGAATTACAAGACAAACCTACAAACTGTTACACAAAGAACTGTTACAAAATTACAAGAGATCAATGGTAGACACAAGTAAGGTGGTGGTGAAATTTTTAAAAGAAAAGAAAAGAAGATTACATTAAAAACATCAGATACAAGGGAGTTTCGATACATTCGGAAATAACCAAGTGGTTCTAAACTACAAGGCATGCGAGGTTCTTGACGGTTAAGGCGTGGAGAGTGAATTCCATAGAGAGCGAAGATTGATTGTTTCTTCATATCAAGAGCAATTCTTTATGCTAAGTTTTATCATGTTACACCAAATCTTATATCTAAGACTTATAGCATCATCATTAAACCTTGCCAAAATAAAGCTACGCCCACCTCCAGCTCACATGATCCACACCAAGCTAAACATGAATGAACATTATACCTGCAGGCAAATCCAACATAAAGTCATGAAGCCTTATGCACGAAAATAATTTGCACAATAAGAAGAACCAAATTCTTACCATGAGCCACCAGGTTGTAAAACCATCATCAGGAAACAGTAGACGATGCAAGCATTTCTCTTGTGAAAAACTTCATACCATCAAGAAAGGCTTGATTAATTCCCAAACTCCTAACATTAGAATATGCAGTTGTGATGAATTTCACAAGTAAACATCACATTCCAAACCTAGGGCCAAAAGCATGAAAGTCAAGGGTTAGCAACAGTTTTGCATGGTGACTGTGCCACTCTGTTGTACCCCAAATTTTTACCCCTAGATCTTAATCATCATCCTAGGAGCAT